AAGATGGTGTTGCAGCGAATGATAAAGATGGTAATCTGATGGTGCCATATCTGTAGAATATGGTGGGTGGGGGAGAACTTCCCAACCCAACTCCAAAATCTTGTGTTGCATCAAACGTGCCACATGTGGACGTGCATTGTCCTGGAGAAGAACGGCTTTCCGATTGACGAGTGAAGGGCATTTCTGATGAAGGGCTTGATTTAAACGTTCCAGTTGCTGACTATAGATCTCTGCATTGACAGTTCGCTGGGGATTGAGGAGTTCGAAATGAATTACTCCTTTTATGTCCCACCAAATGCAAAGTATCACTTTCTGCGGATGGAGTCCGGGTTTTTGGGGTCGGAAGTGATTTTTATCTAGGACTGAGCTATTGTGTTTGGCATTTAATATTCGCATAGAGAATTCATTTTTCATCACCGGTGACAATTTTGTCCAAAAATGGTTCTCGCGCATTACGCGCCAGAAGAGACGAAGCAACGTTCATACGTTGGAAACTATGATCATAGGAGAGTTCGTGAGGCACCCAAACACCTTCTTTATGGAGTTTTCCCATATTCCTTAGATGTTTACATATTGTTTCATGAGAGGCATGAAATTTCAGGGCCGTTTCATGAGTGTGTTGCCTTGGGTTAGACTCAACAAGCATCTTCAGAGCATCAATATCAATTTCAACATGCCAGCCCCTGCCATCACAGTTTTTGAGGCTAAAGTCACCTGAACGAAATTTACTGAACCATCGTTGACACTTACGAACGTTCAAAACATTTCCATAAACTTATTTGATATTCTTTGTGGCTACGGAAGCGTTTTTTACCCTTTTATATTCAAACAGCATTACATGCCGAATGTTTGTCTCGTCGTGTGTCATCACTATAAGGGATTAGAGTATACTAAACTTTAAACATTATGTAGGCTACATTAACGTGACGTTTAGGCGTTTCGTTTAACTACTGCAGAACATGTAACTGGGTACTTGATGCACTTATAAAAAGCTTGTGTGTGAGAGAGAGAGAGAGTTCCTACTCTTCTCAGTCACCAATTCTCATCTAACTAAACATGCCATTCAACAATCAGTAATTTTTGTCTGACATACAATCACTTTTGTACGAAATAACAGTGGGATTTTATACAGGTGCGGCATTTTCAGAGTTATGGCAAGAATCCCCCCCGTCCTAAAAAAAACATAAATCTAATAATACAGACACAAACCTAGTAAAATCAAACTGAATCACGTACGGCTTCACGTATGACTTGCGTATTTTTCAAATAAAAAGTATTACTGTTAGTTTCACAATATTAAGACATAAGTGCAAAGCATATCAAATATCGGACTTAAAAAGCTGCGTTGATCTTTTGTTGTTATTCTTCTTGCTACATGTATTAGGTCGTCAAGAAATTAATGTCGCGTTTCGGAACACTTACATTAACCATCCCCCCAAAAATGTACATCATGTAAGCAGAACATGTAACTGGGTAATTGATGCAATACTAAATTAGCAGAACATGTAAGTGGGTACTTGAAGTAATACTAAATTAGCAGAACGTGTAAACTGGGTACTTGATGCAACACTAAATTAGTACAACGTTTAAGTGGGTACTTGAAGTAATACTAAATTAGCAGAACGTGTAACTGGGTAATTGAAGCAATACTAAATTAGCAGAACGTGTAACTGGATACTTGATGCAACACTAAACTAGTACAACGTGTAAGTGGGTATTTGAAGTAATACTAAATTAGCAGAACGTGTAACTGGGTAATTGATGCAATACTAAAGTAGAAATTTAGTATTGCATCAATTACCCAGTTACATGTTCTGCTAATTTAGTATTGCATCAAGTACCCAGTTACATGTTCTGCTAATTTAGTATTGCATCAAATACCCAGTTACATGTTCTGCTAATTTAGTATTGCATCAAATACCCAGTTACATGTTCTGCTAATTTAGTATTGCATCAAGTACCCAGTTAC